TCTAAATACATGGTTAGATTCAGCATATCAAAGAACCCCAAGAATTCAATTTTTGATGAAATCAAACAAAGTTTAATTTTGGACCCTTTTGACCTCAATGTGGACAAAGTTGATAACGCGGCCCAAAAATCAAAAATCTAAATACATGGTTAGATTCAGCATATCAAAGAACCCCATATATTCAATTTTTGTTGAAATCAAACAAAGTTTAATTTTGGACCCCGATTTGGACCAACTTGAAAACTGGGCCCATAATCAAAAATCTAAATACATGTTTAGATTCAGCATATCAAAGAACTCTAAGAATTCAATTCTGTTAAAATCAAACTAAGTTTAATTTTGGATCCTTTGGACCTTAATGTAGACCAATTTGAAAACGGAACCAAAAATTAAGAATCTAAATACATGGTTAGATTCGGCATATCAAAGAACCCCAATAATTCAATTTTTGATGAAATCAAACAAACTTTAATTTTGGACCCTTTGGACCTCAATGTGGACCAATTTAAAAACGGGGCCCAAAATCCAAAAACTAAATACACGGTTAGATTCAGCATATTAAAGAAACCCAAGAATTCAAGAATAAAACCCCACTGAAATTGGTCAAGAAATAAGCAATTTATACGAAGTATCTTCTTTTGCACAATACTGTGCAATTAAATATTTCTTGCTATTGCGCAATACTGTACAATTGACAATTTCTTGCTATTGCGCAATATTGTGCTATTGGGTATTTCTTGCTATTGCGCAATACTGTGCAATTGAAGATTTCTTGCTATTGCGCAAAACTGTGCAATTGAAGATTTCTTGCTATTGTGCAATACTGCGCAATTGAAAATTTCTTGCTATTGCACAATACTTATTATATAATAATTTACACATCCTGTTTGGTGTGTATCTCCTACCATATCATTATTATTTGCTTTTAAATATAAATCAGAAATAACCAACTTAAAATGGAAAATTTTAAAAGAAAAAAAGAAAAAGAAAAAAAAAAAAAATCCCCCCCCCCCAAATTTTTTGAACCCCCTTATGATTCATCACCCCCAAACTCAATCCCAGCCTTCCCTTTGTGGAATGGTACCTTGCAGTACAATTTCAGAGAGATCCATACACTTGAACACAAGTTATTGTCTGGAAACTAGAAAAATGTGTTTTTAGGCCCCTTTTTGGCCCCAAATTCCTAAAAGTTTAGGGCAATTACCCCCAAACTCAAACCCAGCTTTCCCTTTGTGATATGGAACCTTGTAGTACAATTTCAGAAAGATCCATACACTTACACACAAGATATTGTCCTGAAACTAGAAAAATGCTTGTTTTTTGCCCCTTTTTGGCCCCTAATTCCTAAAATATTGAGGCAATTACCCCCATCATCAATCCCAGCCTTCCCTTTGTGGTATGGTACCTTGCAGTACAATTTCAGAGAGATCCATACACTTGAACACAAGTTATTGTCTGGAAACTAGAAAAATGCTTATTTTTGGCCCCTTTTTTGGCCCCCAATTCCTAAACGTTTCGGCAATTACCTCCAAACTCAATTCCAGCTTTCCCTTTGTGATATGGAACCTTGTAGTACAATTTCAGAAAGATCCATACACTTACACACAAGTTATTGTCATGAAACAAGAAAAATGCTTGTTTTTTGCCCCTTTTTTGGCCCCTAATTCCTAAAATTTTGAGGCAATTACCCCCAAAATCAATCCCAGCATTCCTTTTGTGATATGGAACCTTGTGGTACAATGTCAGAGATATCCATACACTAACACACAAGTTATGTCTGGAAGTTACAAAAATGCTTGTTTTTGGCCCCTTTTTGGCCCCTAATTCCTTTACTGTTGGTACCATAACCCCCAAAATCAATCCCAACCTTCCTTTTGTGGTATTGAACCTTGTGGTAAAATTTCATAGAGATCCATTCACTTAAACTAAAGTTAGAGTGCGAAAAACCAATGTGTCTTCCGACGACGCAGTATGATGACGATGCCAACGTCATACCAATATACGACCACAAAAAATTTTTTGCGGTCGTATAAAAACTTAACAATGAGCAATGAACCGTGAAAATGAGGTCAAGGTTATATAAAACCTGTGCGACTGACAAATAGATCATAAAATATTTCCATACACCAAATATAGTTGACCTATTGCATATAGTATTAGAAAAAAAGACCAAAACTCAAAACTTAACTTTGACCACTGAACCATGAAAACGAGGTCAAGGTCAGATGACACCTGCCAGCTAGACATGTACACCTTACAATCATTCCATACACCAAATATAGTAGACCTATTGCATACAGTATAAGAAAAACAGACCAAAACACAAAAACTTAACCATAACCACTGAACCATGAAAATGAGGTCAAGGTCAGATGACACCTGCCAGTTGGACATGTACACCTTACAGTCCTTCCATACACCACAATATACTAGACCTATTGCTTATAGTATCTGAGATATGGACTTGACCACCAAAACTTAACCTTGTTCACTGATCCATGAAATGAGGTCGAGGTCAAGTGAAAACTGTCTGACGGGCATGAGGACCTTGCAAGATACGCACATACCAAATACAGTTATCCGACTATTTATAATAAGAGAGAATTTAACATTACAAAAAATGTTCACTTTTTTTTCAAGTAGTCACTGAACCATGAAAATGAGGTCAAAGACATTGGACATGTGACTGACGGAAACTTCGTAACATGAGGCATCCATATACAAAGTATGAAGCATCCAGGTCTTCTACCTTCTAAAATATAAAGCTTTTAAGAAGTTAGCTAACGCCGCCGCCGCCGCCGCCGCCGGATCACTATCCCTATGTCGAGCTTTCTGCGACAAAAGTTGCAGGCTCGACAATAAAACCCCATAACTCGGAAACGTAAAATCTAAAATTTATAAAAAACGAAAGGGAGCTCACGTCAATAGATATTAACAATTCACCAAAGTTTTATGCAAATTGGTTAAAGCGTTTTTGAGTTAATGTCCGACATGTTGACGACGGATGGACGGACAGACGGACAACAGTATACCATAATACGTCCCGTAAACGGGCGTATAAAAAATTCAGCAATGTTTCCATTTGTAAAGGGGCATAACTCAAGAAAGGTAAAAGTGATGCCACCAAAATTCAAACTTGATCTTTGTTTTGTGATAATAAGTTTTGTGTACAAGTTTCATAACATTTGGTTGAGGCAAACTAAAGTTTGAGAACAGAAACCAATTTCGGTACTATGGACGTACAGACAGACAAAGGTAAAACTTCATGCCCCCTCCGCTTCGTAGGGGCATAAAAACAAGGCGTCCACTCAAGTTAACAAAAAATAAGCTGAACTCCTGATGTGGTTTTTGGCATAAAAATTTTAGGGATGTACTGGCTAACTAGAAATGCATCACAATTGATTGTTATACATACTATTATTGATTTGACCTACCAGTATTCAGATTTTCTATATCCTGGCCCTCAACACATAAACAGTTAACTGGAATCATTCATATTAATCATTTAAATAGCAGATTTATCTAGTTTACATAAAATTTGCTGTTTTTAGTGGGAAATACATAAAAAAGATAAGATTGTGAAATCGTTTAAAGTCCCAGAGATAATTATTACAATGAAATAAACACATTAAATTAATGTTATTTAAATTAGATGTATTCTTCTCATATTTTTGTGCTGACACCACTCAATACGAGACCACTATATCTAATACAGAAAATGTAGATCACAGTGACCCACTTTTTATATGAATATTAACTATTAAGACAGGTCCACTGAAAAAGGCAACCTAACCAATAACAAAATAAAACATCCCCTGAATACTTCAATACCACCACTACCTTGGGCTAGGTCATAGACTGTCCCCTGAATACTTCAATACCACCAATACCTTGGGCTAGGTCATAGACTGTAACTGCTTCATCTCCAAAACAAATAAAAAGTGCACTTAACATATCTCACAATTATTATTAATACTCTGAATCAAAAGCAGTAAATATAAACTGACAGATTGAATCTGATAACACAAATAGTGCACTTAAAAATATAAACAAAAAATATCAAATTCAATGCTAATAATGTCATTTTCTTGGAGAGAGCTAATTGAATAAGCCAATTTATTTACAAAGATGTTGGGAAGAATACTTCAAGATAAAAATATGCAGTTAAAATTCCCATTTTCTCACCCTAGAATCATGGGAACTAAAAAAACAACAGCTTGCTATAAATAATGACAGATTAAGGCTGATTCTAGTGCTAAATGTTTACAACTTTGATTCTGTTTATCTTAAATTATTTACATTTAAAAGCATTTATATGTTTATTTGACAATCTTTGTTACTGATATTTTCTGTGTCATTCAACATTCTAGATCAGAATTGCCCATACAAAAATTTTGTATACTTAATTGAACCTGAATTTCTTCAACTTTAATTAATAAAACTTCATCTGCAACTTTGCAAAAATTCCTTCAATAAAGAGTTAAGTAATTTTTTTATCACAGATACCCCCGCTCATAGCTTAAAATTGAAATTGAGCTGTATCTCATGGTACAAAACATTTTTTTTAATTCAAAATAATTTGTGTAGTCGAACATTTACTATCATCCCAGTGGTGTAGCTTCCATTGAAGCAAACAGAGGCAGCTCCGTAAAAAAAACTAAAAAAAAAAACTAAAACATTTAAAGAATGTTTTCATTTTGATTAATTCTTATAAAGCTTCTATCTATAATACAGCAGCCACTAGCTTGTCATATATTTCATACACATTGTGAAGAGTTTTAAAAAATATTTTGATTCCTGATTGATCATTAAATTGTTGAAATCCTTTTTTAAAGGGGATTTTTTAACTCCTTTAGGGTCAAAGAAAGTTACTCAGATAAAACCGGCAACCTTGATTTATCCATCACAAAGTCAGACAAAAAATTTAAACACATGATACAGCACATTAGCCAACCCCGATCTTTTTAGAACAGATAATTCTGAAGTCTGTTATTGCTAACCTTGGAACTGCCAATCTGCCATTTTCAGTTTCTGTTCCCCATGGCTGACAGCCTCCTCCCCAGCTAGGAATGTTCAGTATAACAACACCTTCTATATCTGGTAAATGTAATACTCTGCCATCTAACTCCAACTAAAAACAAAAATAAATAAGGTATAATTCTGTGCTAAATTTCTTCATAATCAGCAGTTAAAGAAAACACTGCCATCTTTGTTTAAAACATTTTTTTTACCAGTTAATATACTGCTGCTGTGAAAAAAAAACAAGAAACTGTAACATTGTACAAAATCTTGTTAAATTAATTCACAAATGCTTAAAGAAAAGTAATATAAACACACCCCTCAACCACAAATATTTTTAACAAGTCTGCCTATTGCTTATTATCTACTCAAAGGCTAAATATATGGGTGAAATTTGTGCTCTATGTTAATTATTGCCAAATTGGTCCTGAACCTTTTATATTCTACAACCTGACAGCAAAGGGTTTCCTGAATTGTCAAGGTAACCATTATTGAACTTAACTAGAGGGCATGTACTGTGAAATGAAATTCCCTTTTGTCATCAGTAACAAAATATCAAAATTTTATAAGAACTGGTTCAAAGGTTTATAAGTTATTGCACGAAACAATATAAAAAGCTATTTCAACTGGTTCAAAGGTTTATAAGTTATTGCACGAAACAATATAAAAAGCTATTTCAAATCAATCAAGGACCATAACTCCTGAGCTACAACAATGAAAATTATCAATATCAAACTTCCCTTCCATTTTGTTGTCAGTAACAACATATGTAAACTTTAAAATGCATTGGTTGAACAGTTCGTAGGTTATTAAACAGAAACAACTGGAGCTGACAGCCCATCAACCTGTTGTACAATCCTAAATTAACAAGAGTGCACACGCTGAAATGTCTCGCCTTCTTTACTAACCATTGATTTTATGTTGATAGTCCTAAATATAAAGCTTTACTACAACTTGTACAAGTAACACATACACTTAACATGATCCAAGAAAATGAGGTCAAGGTCAGATTAACCAAACGAGAAATACATGAACACCTTACAATCATTTAATAAACCAAACACAGTTGACCTATTGTTTATAGTTTCTAAGAAACAGTCTTAACCAAGAAAACTTAACATTGACCAATGAACCATGAAAATGAGGTCAAGGTCAGATGAACCATGCCAGACAGGCATGTACACCTTACAATCAATTTATGCATTAAATATCGTTGACCTATTGCTTATAGTATCTAAGAAACAAACTTAACCAAGAAAACTAAACATTGACCAATGAACCATGAAAATGAGGTCAAGGTCAGATGATACCTGCCAGACAGACATATACATACACCTTACAATCCTTCCATACAACAAATATAGTTGATCTATTGCTTATAGTTGAAGAAAAACAGACCAAAACACAAAAACTTAACACTGAGAAATGACCCGTGAAAATGAGGTCAAGGACAAAAAAAACCTGAGAGACTGACATGTACATCATAAAATATTTCCATACACCAAATATGGTTGACCTATTGCATATAGTATTAGAAAAAAAGACCAAAACTCAAAAACTTAACTTTGACCACTGAACCATGAAAATGAGGTCAAGGTCAGATGACACCTTCCAGTTGGACATGTACACCTTACAATCATTCCATATACCAAATATAGTAGACCTACTGTTTATAGTATCTGATATATGGACTTGACCACGAAAACTTAACCTTGTTCACTGATCCATGAAATGAGGTCGCGGTCAAATGAAATTGTCTGACAGGCATGAGGACCTTACAAGATACGCACATTCTAAATATAGTTATCCTTTTACTCATAATAAGAAAGAATTTAACATTACAAAAAATGTTGACTTTTTTTTCAAGTAGTCACTGAACCATGAAAATGAGGTCAAGGACAATGGACATATGACAGACGGAAACTTCGTAACATAAGGCATCTATATAGAAAGTATGAAGCATCCAGGTCTTCTAGCTTCTAAAATATAAAGCTTTTAAGAAGTTAGCTAACGCCGCCGCCGGATCACTATCCCTATGTCGAGCTTTCTGCGACAAAAGTCGCAAGCTCGACAAAAACTAGATTTCCATCAGAAAAACTTGTTAAGAATGGAATATAACTTGCTTGTCTCTTTTGTTATTTGTAATTTGTTTGAAAATTTCATTCCAAAGAAATCTACAAATGATCATTAAGGCCAGGGTATCTTAATTTGTTGGTTTACAGATTTTTCACATGAAAAAGTCAGGTCGGTTGTTCGGAAAAAAAAAAAGATCTTACAAGACATAAATATGTAAAAAATAAATATATATTTCAGCTTACTAACAACATTAATGTTGTGCTATTTTGTCATCATTTCTTAAAATTAGTTCCAAATATTATTGCTCAGCTGTTTTATACATACAATGCATGCCATCGTCATATAATTTTTAAAAAGCAGGGTATGTCCACAGACAAACATGAAATTAAATCGTCATTTCACGAACAAAAAAAAACAGCTCCACGTTGTTTTCTATCTACTTTCAGGAAACATGGCAAATAATGAGCTTCAAGCACTAAAACATGTGAAATAAAAATTGCAAATATGTCGAACCTAAATAAGACTTTACGATCTGTATCAAAAACGAAGTAGACTCGTCCACTAGAAAGAAGAGGATATCAGTTTCATCATTTGTCATGCATTCCCGTTTTTTATATCCAGATGGACAAATTTTTTTTTTCAATCTATGAAACAAGAAAATTCCAATTTGTTTGTGAATATCTTACTCTTAATTTGATGTCTTTCACGTTTGGACGGGTCCATTTCATCTATGAGATTATAAATCTTAAGGAATTATGACAAAAAATGAAAACAAACTTATTGTAATGGGTTTTTAGCATAGGTTTTGTTCCGCAAACTTATTTGCGTAAACATTTCAAGGTCAGTTATGATTGTTTATTTTTAGATAAGTAATTTTAGATTTTTATTTTTTTACAACACAATATGTAATCATTGCTGTTAATGTTAAATGCATTTAAAAATGCTACTAAGCAGATATTTTTATTTATATTTCAGGGATAATGTATTTGTTAGGGTCGGCGGGAATAAAAATGCATGAAATGTCAATTATTCTGCAAATCGAAAAAACAGGGTCAGCGGATCCGTAAACCAACAAATTATAAAACCCTGGCCTAAACTGTTGACAAAGAGATATGTTTTACTTATTTTAAATTTTGATAGTATATTGCAAATGTTGAAATCAAAATGACAAAATTTAAACATGTAAACTATGCAAAAAAGTCAATGAACCGTGACTGAAGGTGCAGGGCCACATAACCTCAATGGAAATGAGAAGTGCCAATGCTTATACACTGTAAAACTGTATACCAAATACCATTGACTTATAATAAATTGTTCCCTTTAAACTAACCTAAACACAAACTTTGACTTGTAAGCTATGTAAAAGTTTTAAAGTCTATAAACTCTGATGAGGGACAGGGCCATATAATCTCCATGGAAAGGAGACTTGCAAATGCTAATACAACTGCATACCAACTATCGTTAACATTACGGGTAGTGGTTCATCTCAAACTGATCTAATCACAAACTTTAGAATGAAAATTATGCAAAACATTCAAAGTCAATAGACCATGACAGAAGGGGCAGAGCCAAATAATCTCCATTGAAATGAGATATGCCAATGCTTATACATCTGCATACCAAATATCCTTGACTTTCAGCTAGTGGCTCCCCCAGTTACAGAGCTAACCACAAACTAATACATGTTAACTAAGAGAAAGTTTCAAAGTCAATAGAAAAGGACTGAGGTGACAGGGGCAAAAGAACTCCTTGGAAAAGAGATGCTCCAATGCTAATACAACTGCATACCAAATAATCATTGACCTACCACTATTGATACCCTATAAACCAACCTATTAACAAACCATAACATTGTTGATGCTGCCACCAAAAACAGAATACCTAATATAAGTCTCGCTTTTTCAACTGCGTCCAGGGGAGGAAAAAATTATCTCAATTTTACAGCATGTTTGTGTTTCTGTCCATCTTAAATTAGGTTTATGAAGTTGCAATAAGGGAATTTTAAGTGAAACTCTTCATTCTGTTTATTGGAAAAAATTCTGCAAAAAGGGTAAGATCAGAAGAAGATGTTTCCTCAATCAAATTTCTGAACGATGAGGTCTTGAAATATAGAATAATATGAGAAAATGAGTCAAACTATGTATGTTTCATTCTCATCTTGATATGTGAATGAGATCTTTTGTTCCTGTTCTGCCTACTGATCTGTTTGGCATTGTGTGTGATGCCTGTTATTTTATCATCACAGGGACTTCCCATTATATTCAATGCTGTACTAAACAAGAAATCCATTTTCATTGTAAAAATAATTCTACAGAACATATGATGTTTTTAAGTGGACTTAAATCACTAGTGTTTTCTATTGGTTTAATTTTTTGCTAATTGTATATAAAAAAAAAGTTATCAACAGAATCCATCTAATCTGAGCAACATTAAAAAGTCTTCTTAGAAAATAAACAAATATATCTGTTTAAAAACATGTGCTTAAAATGGAAAAAAAACACTTGTCTGAAAGAGTTCCCAATTGATGCTGCATTAGTAAACTGGAAATGGTAAAGAGATTAATCCACAATAGTTACACCCAGTTTTATATTATATACACCCACCTTAATTTTCTTGTGAAGGTTACAGCACTCTCTTCCTACCACATCTTTAGTACCAAATGCTAAATAACATAACTGAAATAAAAAACTCTTAAAGTAAACAAGAATGGAAATGAAATGTTGATATTTGTTTGCTTGCTTGTTTGACTTCATTGAGAGATCACTAATGAAATATGAAGGTATTACAAAGTATGCATGGGGACTTCAAAATCTACCAGAAACATCTTGAAACATACTGGATTTTTACCAATATAGCAATACAGCATAATTGTCTAAAACCCCCTAAAACAGAGGAGTTCATATAAAATTGAAATGTCTATAATTTTGAAGTGATTTATTAAATTCTATTCCAAGCTTAAGGCCATTTTTTATGACTTAGTTATAGTTTGTATTTCCTTCATAAGTAACTCTGGGAATATAACAAGGAAATTACTTTTTACTTTGTTAACAGAACCTTTACTGTAGGTCTCATTGGGGTCTAAATGTGACAGGGAAAGTCAAATTATTGTGCATGAAAACGGGAAACAAAGTATGGCGGGACACTTGAAATTACAAGCGTTATAATTACAATGATAAGCGGGATACAGGAATCTGACAAAACAATTAGTGATTTCCAGGATCAGACCCCCTTTACTCCCCTTATGCTATCTAGCATGCCTAACATTTTCAACCTCTAATTAATTACTAACACCCAAATTATTTAGCAGATGATTTGTAAATGATGAGATTATTCATCATCTGATCTTTTTTCATATGACCTCTAAATGATGCTGTTAAAATGTTTTTATCTTTTAAAATTATTGTCAGAGCCAATTACCTCTATGTTGCTTGATGATTTATTGATTGTTTATGGCTGAATGTCCAGTGGCAAATATGTCACAGAACTAGTTGTCAATATAAGGATAAATCATTTGGTAGGGTCTAAAAGGACTGGTCAAGGTGAAAGTTTTGATGTGTCATTAAAACTAGAGGCTCTAAAGAGCCTGTGTCGCTCACCTTGGTCTATGTGTATATTAAACAAAGGACACAGATGGATTCATGACAAAATTATGTTTTGGTGATGGTGATGTGTTTGTAGATCTTACTTTACTGAACAATTTTGCTCCTTACTATTATCTCTATCTATAATGAACTTGGCCGGTAGTTACAGTGGAAAATACTTTGTAAAAATTTACAAAAATTTACAAAATTTATGAAAATTGTAAAAAAATTGACTATAAAGGGCAATAACTCCTTAAGGGGTCAATTGACAATTTTGGTCCTGTTGCCTTATTTGTAGATCTAACTTTGCTGTACATTATTGCTGTTTACAGTTTATCTCTATCTATAATAATATTCAAGATAATAACCAAAAGCTGCAAAATTTTCTTAAAATTACCCAATTCAGGGGCAGCAACCCAACAACGTGTTGCCTGATTGGTCTGAAAATTTCAGGGCAGATAGATCTTGACCTAATGAACAATTTTAATCTCATCAGATTTGGTCTAAATGCTTTAGTTTCAGAGATACGAGCCAAAAACTGCATTTTACCGTATGTACTATTTTTTTGCCATGTTGGCCATCTTGGTTCGTGGGCGGGGTCATGGGACACATTATTTAAACTAGATACCCTAATGATGATTGTGGACAAGTTTGGTTAAATTTGTCTTAGTAGTTTCAGAGGAGAAGATTTTTGTAAAAAATTACAATAATTTACGAAAAATGGTTAAAAATTGACTATAAAGGGCAATAACTCCTTGAGGGGTCAACTGACCATTTTGGTCATGTTGACTTATTTGTAGATCTTACTTTGCTGTACATTATTGCTGTTTACAGTTTATCTCTATCTATAATAATATTCAAGATAATAACCAAAAACAGCAAAATTTCCTTAAAATTACCAATTCAGGGGCAGCAACCCAACAACAGGTTGCCTGATTGGTCTGAAAATTTCAAGGCAGATAGATCTTGACCTAATGAACAATTTTATCCTCATCAGATTTGCTCTAAATGCTTTGATTTGAGAGATATGAGCCAAAAACTGCATTTTACCCTATGTACTATTTTTTAGCCATGTCGGCCATCTTGGTTCGCGGGCGGGGTCACCGGACACATTTTTAAAACTAAATACCCTAATGATGATTGTGGACAAGTTTGGTTAAATTTGTCTCAGTAGTTTCAGAGGAGAAGATTTTTGTAAAAGATTACAAAAATTTACGAAAAAATGGTTAAAAATTGACTATAAAGGGCAATAACTCCTTAAGGGGTCAACTGACCATTTTGGTCAAGTTGACTTATTTGTAGATCTTACTTTGCTGAACATTATTGCTGTTTACAGTTTATCTCTATCTATAATAATATTCAAGATAATAACCAAAAACGGCAAAATTTCCTTTAAATTACCAATTCAGGGGCAGCAACCCAACAACGGGTTGTCCGATTCATCTGAAAATTTCTGGGCAGATAGATCTTGACCTGATAAACAATTTTACCCCATGTCAGATTTGCTCTAAATGCTTTGGTTTCAGAGATATAAGCCAAAATCTACATTTTACCCCTATGTTCTATTTTTAGCCATGGCGGCCATCTTGGTTGGTTGACCAGATCACCGGACACATTTTTTAAACTAGATACCCAAATGATGATTGTGACAAAGTTTGGTTAAATTTGACCCAGTAGTTTCAGAGGAGAAGATTTTTGTAAAAGTTAACAGACGACGCCGGACGACGACGACGGACGCAAAGTGATGAGAAAAGCTCACTTGGCCCTTCGGGCCAGGTGAGCTAAAAAAGGAATAATACATCGTTGCAAATGCATTCTGGGTAATATTTTCAAAGGCTTACACCAAAATGTCATGATTGGTTAAAAAAAGTCCTTAACAATGGAAATTCAACCAATGACGTGACGATACTTTCATTTTGGATTGATTGATTGATTGATTGGTGATTGTTTTAAGCCACATTTTGGGGGTGGGTACCAACAATTTAATTTACCCATAGTTCTTTAGATTATGAAATGGCCAATTGAGTAGGTTGAACATTTTGAAGGAGAAATATGCCTTTAACTATGTTAAGTACTGGAATTAATATATATATATAAACACTTTGAGAAAATGGATCATTCCAATCAAAGAAATAGGCCATCTTTTTATAATTTTTTTTCCTAACCTCAGGATGCCGTCTAAAATTACATGATGGTTTTCAATAGCAACTTCTGCATTTGTAAAATTTCCTATCAGTATGAACATTAATTATTCTGTACCATACTGCATGGTGTCAGATCTTACTCAAGATAAAGTGTTGATATGTAGGTAACATATATATCAGGTGACTGTAATGCTTTAACACTTCATGCAAAAACTTTAGTAATGTTAAATCTCAGTGATCATGCTGTGTTAGACTATGGGGATAATACATAGTTTTGTAATTAAGCATGATATATAGGGTGTTATTGATAATAAAACACAGGCTGTCTGACAATTACTTTACAATTTGCCTTAGGTATACCAGTGTCTAAAAGACAGGTCAGGTTTCTAAAAACTGTAATTGTTTTAGCAGTTATGAATATTTGAAGGGTTTGGTTTAAATAAAAATTTGCATATTATAAATTTTGTTTTACTTTAATCATAATGGGTATTCAAAAATAATTTGCTGTATGTATTTTTATCAAAAATTTCAAAGTCCTATTTGTTTGTTGTTATTTTATGCCCTTCTAGTTTTCATGCTCTCTTTTTGAAGTGTTTAAATTTTTGGAGTTGCAAACTGTTAGTCACAAGGTTGCATGTACGTAAGATGAGAAAACATGTTTTGCACACATGAAAATCATAATTTTTTTCATTTATTACTATTCAAAATGGACCTTCTGCAATGTTATATAATTCTAATTAATTCCAAAGGAATAGGTTCAATAAGGCCTTAAAATGGCCCCTATTTCTAGCTACAATTTCAAATTAGGATTTATTTACCAATATCACAATGAATCATACTAGATAGGAAATATGTCCTGTTATTGAAAATGTATGTACTTGCATCCTATTCATGACATCACATATAGCACTCATTTTGATTTTCCATGAAAAATTAACAAAAACAGGTATTTTAATTTCCATTGATTTTTTAGGACAGGAAACATTAGCGCATGCGCATGTGTAGACAAAAAAGATCTTTTAAAATAATGTTAGTTATAACATTTTACATATCTGACTTGAATATTTAGTTTGATGACGCCTGCATTCTATGTTTCCTGGGCCTAATTTTGGTTGAGATATTGACAATTTTGTCAAATTTTGCAAAAATCAATTTTTTGGGTCTATTTGGGATGTGAAAATCAACAATTTAAAATATTTCCATTTGACTTTCTTACATGCCTTTTCATCATCTTAAAACATTTCTTATCTTGAAACTTTCAACTTAACAAGCATTCTGTGAGTATTGCATGGCAATACATAGTCCCCTGTACCGGTTAAAAATTCATTGCATTGGAACAAAATTCTAACTTGATCTATAACTTGTCATGGTGTAAACTATATAACAAATATCAAGTCAATATCTTCAAGCACGATGAAAAAAAGTGTTGAAAACTGATTATTTCAGTGAATTTTCTAATCTTCAAGCATGAAGAAAAAAAGTGTGGAAAACTGATTTGCCGGACTGACAGACAGACAGACAGACGGACAGAGTGCAAACTTAAAGTCCCCTTCAACTTCGTCGGTATTGGACTAATAATTGAGGCCAAATATGGCCCTTACAGAACTCACTCCTTTATTCAATTTCCAGAATTAAATGCTAAACATTTCTATTTTTGATTGATTCCTTTTCATTGGTTATAAACAATAATCATGAAATGATATTAAAATTGAATAAACTGCCATTATATAACAGAAAATTGTGAAGTTTTAGATTATACATACATTGAAATAATATAGAGTACAACTGTTGCCCCAAAAATATTTGAACAGATCAAAAAGGTTATTTTGTGTTTATCTACATGCATTCAAAACACTATTTTGTGTGATGTTAGTACTTTTATGTTTATTTAGCCACAATAATGCAGAAACTTAAGTCTCGTTAAGACATCAAAATAATACATCACAGTCA